GACAGTGCCTTCAGCTCCCAGCCCCTCAAGACGGTCCAGAAGGATGTTATGGTCGATGGTATCAAACGCCGCTGAGAGATCCAGCAGAACTAGGAAACAGCTCTCACCTTTGTCCCTAGCCCGCCGGAGATCATCAACCAGTGCGACCAAGGCAGTTTCAGTCCCATGATGAGGCCTGAATCCTGACTGGAAGGGATCCAAATGGTCCGCTTCTTCCAGGCGTGCCTGGAGTTGTTCCGCAACCGCTCGCTCAATCACCTTGCCCAGGAATGTAAGATTTGAGACTGGGCGATAGTTGGCCATCGTGGCCGCATCTAAAGATGGTTTTTTAAGAAGCGGTTTAATAACCGCCTCTTTCAGCGAGTCTGGGAAGGCTCCCTCACGGAGGGAAGCATTCACCACCCCACGAAGCCCATCGCCCAGTCCTTCCCGGCTAGCTTTTATAAGCCAGGATGGGCAAGGATCCAGGAGACAGGTGGTTGGTTTCACTCGTCCAAGCAGCCTGTCCACATCCTCGGAGGTAACAGATTGGAATTGATCCCACTCAACTTGACTAGACAGAACTCTAGCACTCTCCCGCCCCGGCCCTGCTCCCACGGTGGAGTCTACTTCTTCCCGAATCCGAGCGATTTTATCTGCAAAAAACTTTGCAAAATCATTGCAGGAGAACATGTGGCCCGTACTGGGCCCCGATGTTGCAGGTGGTTCCGCTAAATTGTGAACCACCTGAAAAAGTCTCCTGCTGCTGTTTTCTGCAGATGCAATAGAGGCGGTGAAGAAATTCTTCTTCGCCGTCGCTATCGCCACTTGGTAGGCTCGACGTTGAGCTCTAACCTGTGTCCGGTCAGATTCGGAATGAGTTATCCGCCACCGGCGCTCTAGCCTTCTCAACGATTGCTTCATTGCCCTCAGATCCGTGGAAAACCACGGGGCTGTCTGGGCTCCATGCAATCGGAGAGGGTGCTTCGGAGCCAAGCAGTCAATAGCCCTGGTTAACTCCACATTCCAGCGGGCCACCAGGGAATCGGCTGAAAGGCCATCAACATGGGATAAAGCATCCCCTACCACTCTCTGGAAACCATTTGGATCCATTAAGTGGTGGGGGCGGACCATCCGAATTGGTCCCACCTCCCTGCAGAGGGGATGGGTCGCAGAGAAGTCCAGTTGCACCAGGAAGTGATCTGACCATGGCACTTCTTTCGTTTCGCTTTTACTTAGTGTCAGATCACCAACATCCATAGAGGTAAACACCAGGTCCAAGGCATGTCCATGGCTATGGGTTGGGCCAGACTTATTCAGGGACAGCCCCATGGAGGCCATGCTTTCCACGAAGTCCCGAGCGGCCCCTTGTAAGGTCGTGTCAGCATGGATGTTAAAATCCCCTAGGACGACCAGGCTAGGTGTCTCCAGGAGAACATCCGCCATGACCTGAAGCAGCTCGGGCAGGGAATCCTTGGTGCAGCGGGGAGGTCGGTACACCAAAAGGAATCCTGTACTGCCCCTATTGCCCAACTTCCAGGACATGCACTCAGAAAACTGGGTCTTCCCAATAGGACGCCTGGTGCAAACTAGTGACTTCCTAAAAATCACTGCAACCCCCCCTCCCCGCCCACATGACCTGGGTTGCTGTGCATAAGAGAAACCTGGTGGACAAGCAGTGGCAAGGACAGGCCCATCTGCTTCATCCAACCAAGTCTCTGTTACACATGCCAGGTAAAGTCCTCCATCCACGATCACGACATGGATGGCAGTGGTCTTATGACTCATTGACCTGGCATTGCACAGCAGCACCTTCAGGCTATGTGGGTATCCCTTGCTGATTCTAGTATCCATCCGGACAGGACCAGACCTGGAGGCAGGAATAGTCCTCAGACAATGACTAAACCTACCCCCTCTGTAATGACATGGTCTGGTCTTAGCGTAACTCCTCCTCCTGCCCGTGATCACTGAGTTCAGTTGTCCCAGTGCATCCCCCCCTGTGAAACATGCCCCAGCCATTTTGTGGGCTGGGGCCCACTCCCCGGCAGCCCTGACCCCTCCCCCTAAGAACAAAGAACACCTTAAACAAACAAACAAAACCAATAAAACAATACAAACAAAAAAAGAGTAAAAATTACAAAAACATCAAAATAATAAAAAATAATAATTCCCCAAACCCAACCACACATCCATACCACCCCCACCCCCCACATACAAAAAATCCAAAGAAAATTTTTTTAAAAAACATTTTAAAAACACTCTGTGCCCCTCCGGCAATAACAACTGTCCTAGTGAGGCCTGTCAGGCCCCGCCCCGGGCCAGGTGGTAAGTGGCAGGAAGGAGCAGGGCCCTCAAGCACTCACTCAGGGGAGTCCTCCTGGGCAGCAGGCCGCAAGCAGCACACAGTCCTTATGAGGCTTCAGGCCCCGCCCCAGGCCAGATGGTAAGTGCAAGAGCAGGGCCCTCAGCACTCACTCATATATATTATATTATAATATATATAATATATTTATATTATATATAAATAGACGCAGATTAGCCAAAATGCTGAGCTACTGAGTTCTGTTATGCAAACTGCAAATACTCTGTGGATCCCTGAGTGTGCTGATGCTTCTTGGTATCAATCGCTGTGATGTGCGGGCTGAAGAAAGCTTTTGAAGCTCCCAATCGACCAGGAGGGAGAGAACATGCCAGTTGGGCATGTGTCTCTGCCAGGGTCCTACACGAGAGTAGGACACAAGCTGAGTGGGTGAACACAAGTAGGGAAGCTGCACAGCCAGGGCTAGGAGGCCTTGGCAGGCAGCCGACATTGCCAATCCTCAACCCTGGCTTGAGAGGTCGTAAGAACCTAAGGAGGAACACTGCTGGTTCAATGGCCAATGGTCTGTCTAGCTTAGCGTTCTGTTCTCACAGTGGCCAGCCAGATGGAGAAGCCTTTGGGCAGGGCCCAAATGCAACTTCACTACTCTGCCCACTTGTGTTTCCATCATTTCAGCACCTGCCAGACTAAAGATGTCGTATATCTAATAAGATGCCGGTGCAATCTACCGTACTCTATATTGAATCAACCACATGAGCGGTAGGTTTTTGAGAGACATGGACCTTCTTTACATGGTTCTTTGGGTAAATCAGGAACAACTAGGGCCTTCTGGCGGTTCCCTCACTGTGAGGAGCCAAGTTACAGGGAACCAGGCAGAGGGCCTTCTCGGTAGTGGCGCCTGCCCTGTGGAACGCCCTCCCATGAGATGTCAAAGCAATAAACAACTACCTGACATTCAGAAGACATCTTAAGGCAGCCCTGTTCAGGGAAGTTTTTAATGTGTGACATTTTAGTGTATTTTTGGTCTCTGTGGAAGCCGCCCAGAGTGGCTGGAGAAACCCAGCCAGATGGGCGGGGTACAAATAATTAATAATAATAATAATAATAATAATAATAATAATAATAATAATTACTGGGATGAGGAGAGATTACGTAAGATTGCTACACCAACAAGAAACTAAAATAATTTTCTTATTCAAATCCCTGTATCCTGGGTGTTTGAACACGGAATTAGACTTTTATTGTTTCATTTAATTGTTCTGATTATATGGCTACTGCTATCATTCACTGCATTAATTGTTGGATTCTGTATCTTTAAATTTTCAGAATTTGTACATGACTCAGAACTCTCAGGATGGCCTATTTAATGCCTCTAAGATTCGGCCCCCAGTATCAGCTTTCTACCCTTCTTAGTGAGTGCTGATCTTATGCTACTTGATGTACCTGTTACGGCCATTCTACGTTTTTGGATCATCCATTACCGCACGGTGACAGGATTGTGACTGCCTCTTTCAATACCAATGGACCATATTGTCTAATTTTGTTCATGCAACAGTGATAGACTTTTATTTTCTGTGTTTCCATTACATAGTCTCTGTTTCAAAATTGCTACGCTTGGAGCTTCTATTATCAGTGGCGTAGCGTGGGGGGTGCAGGGTGGGCCGGCCGCACCGGGCGCAACATCTGGGGGTTAGGGGGTGCAAATCCATGGGTTAGGGGGTGCAAATTACTTGCCTTGCCCCGGGTGCTGACAACCCATGCTACACCACTGTCTATTATCGCATGATTACAGGATCGGGACTATTGAAAGGTTTGTTTGCCTCTATGATATTGACTGACTGCCTTCTCTAATTTTGTTTATACAATTTTTTTTAGTATATTATTAGCCATGTGTTGCCTGATATTGCTTAAGTTACACTTGTGTTTCCTGGCAGCTGGCATTCAGAGGCGTACTGCCTCCAGCACTGTAGGAAAACACAGTTGTCGTTACCTGTAGCCATTGATAGCCTTCTTCTCCCAATGAGTCCACCTAATCTTCTTTTAAAGTCATCCACATGGGTGGCCCATCAGGAACTCTGTTTAACTACATGCTGCGCAGTGCTATTTTTTCTAGAAAAAGAGGTGCCGCAACTCACCATGAACGCCTCCCTTGTTCTCTAAGAATGGTAATGGCGCCCACCTGAGAGGTGTCGGGACTGAGTTCCTGTGAGTTCCCCCTGGGGGATAAGAAAGCCCTGGTGCTTTCTTTTGTCTATCCCAAATCCATTTGTATACAGTAGTGCTTAATACTGAAAACTGAATCACTATAAACAGTTTACAGCAGCAGTAACAGCAGGGTTACATGTGTGTGTGTTAGGCCCTAGTTTGGGGATCGGAACTGGTTTGTGCACTTTAAACAAAAGCCCTGTGGTGTGTGCGCCAAGGTGTAAAGCCCCAAGAAACAGCTTGTGGTCTTCTTTTTCTTTTTGCAAGGGAATATATGGACATATAACCAGACCAAGAATGAGAGTTCAAAAGTTTTATTTTCTGGTTCAGTGGGTGAAGAGAGATACCAAAGGAAGATAAAATACTGTTTATGTACGCAACAACAGCGGCAAGAGTTCTCCTAGCCCCAAAATGGAAACAACAAGTACTGCCAACAAAAGAAGAGTGGCAGATGATGGACTTTGTGGATTTGGCGAAGCTGACAGGAAGAATCCGAAACCAGCAAGATCAAGTATTCCAAAAGGACGGGAGTAAATTCATACGATATCTGAAAGATTACTATAAGCAATTAACATCACTAGCAGGATTGTCTAAAGACTCGTAATGAAGATTTTTCTCCCTTTTTATTTTAACATAAATTTCAATGACTTTTGTAATGAGCTAATCAGAACTAGAAAATGTATAAAATGCAATGATATAAAGGTTTACTTTGAAAGCCGTGAGCTGGGAGGGAAGGAAGTTTATAGGCTCAAAAGAGCTGGAGAGGTAAAGTGGATAGCAATGATGTGATTATATATTATTAAATGGAAAACTAATAAAAAAATATGTTTAAAAACCACACAAAGTCTTTCCCCCCTAAATACACAGCTAGGACACCCTCTCCCTTATACTGCCCTATGCAGTATGGTACAGCTCCCTCCCTCTGTATAATGTGTAAAGGCAGAGTGAGAAAACGGTACACTCTGTAGTGTGAGAATGCAGAGTGAGATCAGTTCTCTTCCTGGGGTTCGATACCTTGCAACACTTTTCCCCAAGCTTCAAAATCCAATGCCACTTTGAATTTCTTGAGAGATGAAAACACTGGCACCATATTTTTCTCATTGTCTCCTGAATATTCCTCCTCCTTCTCTTCACTACTTTCATCCTGTTCTTCATCAGACGACTTATCTTCCTCTTCAGCTGCATTGTTGTCATCTTCCTCCTCCTCTGTTGAGTCGTGGAATCTGAGAAAACAAGAAGTGCCTGTTTAGTGGGAAAGGCTGATCTGCCCCTCTGTATTACTCCTGCTTGTTGCTCCTAACAGGATGTTGCCTCTCCCCCCCCCAAAAAGAGGCCAGGCTGATCTGTGACAAGCCCTAGAACTGGTTGCAGAAGCCAATAACTTTCAAAGAAGAAACCACATTTTCCAGCTAAGCAAGAGCAAACTGGATGATCAAAGTTCGTGGCTTGACAGGTATTCCACCAGAATAAGTATGAAAGGAGGATTTTGGTCATGTGGAAGGTACTTGAAGTTATGTTAGAGCTATGTTAAGTGCTGCATGGAGCCACCATTTTAATTTCATGCCCACCCGATTGTGGAAAAGCAATGATTCTGCACTATAGAATATGTAGATGGGGGAGTAATGTGAATGCAGGCAAATAGTCTTTTTTAAAAACTGAGCTGCATTCAGTTAGGGATGAGGACTAAGGGGCCAAACCAGAGGTGGGAAACCTCAGCCCTGGAGGTCAAATGAGCTCCCTCCAAAAAAGCTGTCTATGTGGCCAATGAGATTTTCCCTAGACCACACCCTCAATGGTCTTCCTTCACACCATTCTGGGGTGTTTTGGCTTGGCTGGAATGTGTGCTTGAACTCCGAAAATGACTATCTATTGCCTGGATGGAGAAGACAAAGAAATTTGTGGCCGTGTGTAAAAAGGAGCCTTCCGTACAAAAGAACCTTTTGCATTTATTGCTGCCCTGTCCACTTTTGCCTCAGACCCACACCTGCCACCAGGTTAAACCAAGGAAACAAGGAACATGAATGTTAATGAAGGGAACTAGAGAGGTGCCAGGGACACGGGTGGTGCTGTGGGTTAAACCACAGAGCCTAGGGCTTGCTGGTCAGAAGGTCGGCAGTTTGAATCCCCGTGACAGGGTGAGCTCCCGTTGCTCAGTCCCTGCTCCTGCCAACCTAGCAGTTCAAAAGCACCTCAAAGTGCAAGTAGATAACTAGGTACCGCTCCAGCAGGAAGGTAAACGACGTTTCCGTGCGCTGCTCTGGTTCACCAGAAGTGGCTTAGTCATGCTGGCCACATAACCTAGAAGCTGTACGCCGGCTCCCTCGGCCAATAAAGCGAGATGAGTGCCGCAACCCCAGAGTCGGCCACGACTGGACCTAATGGTCAGGGGTCCCTTTACCTTTAGAGAGGTGCCACACAAGAATGAGTTCTAGACACTTACCTCTTAATCAGCTCGCTAAAACTCAGTGGCTCATTTTTCTCATCATCTTCAGAATATTCCTCCTCCTCTTCACTACTTTCACCCTCTTCTTCATCAGACGACTTATCTTCCTCTTCAGTTGCATTGTTGTCATCTTTTCCCACCTCCACCTCTATTGAGTCTTTGGCTCTGAGAAAACACGAAGCCCCTGTTTACTGGAAAAGGCTGATCTGCCCCACTGCATTACTCCTGCTTGTTGCTCCTAACAGGATGTTGCCCCCCCAAAAAAAGAGACCACCCCCTCAATGGTTTCCCTTCACACCAATTTGGGGTGTTTTGGCTTGGCTGGAATGTGTGCTTGACCTATGAAAATGACTATCGTTTGCCTGGATGGAGAACAGAAAGGGATTTGTGGCCGTGTTTAAAAAGTGGCCTTCCGTACAAAAGAACATTTTGCATTTATTGCTGCCCTCTCCACTTTTGCCTCTGGCTCTGCCTGTCACTGGGATGTGGCCACAGACGGTTGCCCCAAAATGAATGTTGCTCTTGGGCTGAAGAAGCCACACCCCCACACCTGCCACCAGGTGAAACCAAGGACGCAAGGAATGTCAAAGAAGGGAACCACAGAGGTGCCACACAAGAATGAATTCCAGACACTTACTGCTGCATCAGCTCCTGGAAGTCCTACATGAAAGATAAACAAGTTTAGTGTATTGATTTACAGCGTCTTCACAGTCAATTTGAAAGAATGACTAGAAAGGGCTTCCTCTCGCTTCAGATGTCATTTGGGAGCAGCCGTTCACTTAGACTGCCACAGCAGGAGACATTGGAAGATTTGCTGGGAGCCCAGCTCCACCCGGAACCTCCTGCCCCAGAACTGTGCCAGCTGGTCATTATAGGAACAACCGTTCGGAAATAGGCGTCCGCGTTTTGCTTTTTATTCTCCTCTTCCCTCCCTGTCCCTTTTTCCTTGTGTGTTGTGGGTAGGGACTATGTAAACTCCTCTGGGAGCCTTCTTGGCTGAAGAGCAGGGTACAAGTGCTCTAAGGAAAATAATTAAATAAATGTGGCAGCCAGGTCACCACCACCATGAAATATGGCTATTGTTATCATTTCCTCAAACAACATCTAACTGGCAAAAAAAGCATAAACTGAAAATAGTAAAAAGAGACCCTAGTTTTGGCAAGGAACTCCTCATGGTTTGGAAGTGATCCAGGGTTTGGCGACATCCTGTTTGGGTTACTCTAGTCAAGTGCCTCATACTGGGCATGCCCTTAAAGGTGGTCTGGAAACAACTGGAATGTGATGCCAAGCATGTCTGCTGGATTCGGATGGTATAAGCACCTCATTCTCTTGCCTTCTCTGGCTTCCGTTCGGTTTCTGGACTCAGTTCAAAGGGCTGATTTTTGACCTTCATGATCTGGGACTCCTGTACTTATATCTAATCTCAGTGTGTGGGCCTCATCGATCCTCCAAGAGGTTTCCTTCTGCCTCCCCACCGCCCGCTTCGCTCTCAAAGAGCCAAACACTTTTGGCACTAGCAAATAGATAGGCACAAGGAAGAATTCAACATTGCGCTAAGGCGACAGTTCCATCAGCGCAAGCATTTTAGCGTGACAGATGAACGAGCAGCCCTCCCCTTCTCCCATGTGCTATTCCGGGGTTCCCCCTGACCACCCAAGTCATTTTTAGAGGGCGCATGGGAGAAAGCCCTCTTGCACCAGCAAGAGTCCTTATCTGAGCTTCCAGGTAAAGGTAAAGGGACCCCTGACCATTAGGTCCAGTTGCGGATGACTCTGGGGTTGCGGTGCTCCTCTCACTTTACTGGCCGAGGGAGTTGGCGTAAAGCTTCTGGGTCATGTTGCCAGCATGACTAAGCTGCTTCTGGCAGTGGCGTAGCGTGGGTTGTCAGCACCCGGGGCAAGGCAAGTAATTTGTGCCCCCTAACCCGTGGATTTGCGCCCCCTAACCCGTGGATTTGCGCCCTCTAACCCTAACCCCCAGATGTTGCGCCCGGTGCGGCCGGCCCCCCCTGCACCCCCCATGCTACGCCACTGGCTTCTGGCAAACCAGAGCAGCGCACGGAAACGCCGTTTACCTTCCTGCTGGAGCAGTACCTATTTATCTACTTGCACTTTGACGTGCTTTTGAACTGCTAGGTTGGCAGGAGCAGGGACCGAGCAACGGGAGCTCACCCCATTGTGGGCATTCGAACCACAGCCTTCTGATCGGCAAGTCCTAGGCTCTGTGGTTTAACCCACAGCGCCACCCGTGTCCCGGGCTTCCAGGAGTGGGACTCATTCATTGAATCCCACCCACAGTGCTGTTATGGATGGAGCCCAACACCCGAGTTGGAAGAGTTGCTAAGAGTCTCCTATGCCTCTCACAAAGCAGTTTAACAATCAACCCCTCTTCCCAATGAATTCTGGGAACTGCAGCCATATTAAACCAGATCTAGTCTAGCTATATTGAATCGGATATTGTTATTTGGCCAAGAACTTTCAGTCCTACATCACCACACACTGGACCGCATGGTGTTTTGCAGGTATGCCTCTGATCGGAGCTGGTCTCACCTTCAGAAAGGCCACGTGGTCTGTACTTTCTAACGCTGCTTTAACCTTGTTAATAATCTCAGTCAGGGAAGAAACGTCGTTTTTCAGGCTCGAAAAGGCATCTTGCATTTCCACCCAGTTCTTCTTCCTCTTCTCCTGGACAGTCTTCATAATAGCCTTCTCCTTCTCATCCAAGATCTGGTGAAGGGATTCAAATCCTGTGGAAATGTGATTTACGATATCTTCGATACAACTCTGCAAGTGGTGGGGAGAAAAACACACACACACAAATGAATTAATTTCATTTTTAGTGTTAGCGTGAAACAAAGCAGATACGCATTCAAGGCAAGAAAAATCAAACATAACGAAAGGGTGATTTGTCCCATCAAGAAGATTTTGAATTAGAAAAGTTCCTATGGAAAGTAATAATAATGATGATGATGATGATAATTAATTTATACCCCACCCATCTGGCGGTATTACTCAGGAGAACTTGTGCCTGGATATTATGAAACATAAAAACGGAAATTTAACCTTCACAGCCTGAGATCAGGGCACCTTGTGATTATCAGGGACAGGGTCTTTTCAGTGGTGGGGCCCTGCTTTGACAACACTTCCCCACAAAAGCTTGCCTGGTCCTGGCACCTAGAGTCCAGTGTCTTTCCAGTGCCAGATGAAGACCTTTTTAAAAATTTCCCAGGCCAAGCTTATGCTGATCTGCTTCACCTGCACTCTTTCGATACCATTTTCAGGTTGTCTTCACAGATTTCAGGTTTGTTTGTTTTTTGCTTATTTCTGAACACAATTCAAAGTGTTGGTGCTGACCTTTAAGGCCCCAAATGGCCTTGGCCCAGTATACCTGAAGGAGTGTCTCCACCCCCATCGTTCAGCCTGGACACTGATGTCCAGCACTGAGGGGCCTTCTGGCAGTTCCCTCACTGCAAGAAGTGAAGCTACATGGAACCAGTCAGAGGGCCTTCTTGGTGGTGGCCCTTCCCATCAGATGTCAAATAAATAAACAACTATCTGACTTTTAGAAGACATCTGAAGGCAGCCCTGTTTAGGGAAGTTTTTAATGTTTGATCTTTTATCG